CCCGGCGGGACGTTTTTTGAATTTTCTTCCTTTTAACGCCGTTTTTCGGGGATTTCGGATTTTTTTTTATTTTTTAGCAATAATATTCTGGAAAATAGATAACTTTTAACACATTTTAATGCAATAAAAAATTTTGGTCGGAGTCCCCCTTTAATATCCTTTACACTGTCATAGAGCCGGCAGCAGAAACTGGAGTTTCTGAACCGTATCTAGCCATAGTTTTTGTGCTCATGAGGAAACAGCTAACGGTCTCTAGAGTTTGGGTTCCTAGAAAAAATAATAATTTTCGAAAAATTTTGTGAATGCAAAGTTTCCAATCTATGTCTGTTTTACACTCTCCAAAACTTTCAAAGTGATCGGAAACTTGACAGTCCAGATCCGGACTCTTGAAAATGGTCTGAATAGCCAAAATGGGAAAACGTCAACTGAATATTATTTTTTTTTGTATGCATATCTTACTGGTACTGTACATTGTTAATTTTAATAACTAAAAACTCACATTCTCAGAAAATGACCCAGAAGGGAATAAATCATAGAAATACTTAGAAAAATCATTTAAAAAAAATAGGCCTCCACAATCAGAAGGTGGCCAAGAAGAAGAAGAAATGACTAAAAAGTGTCTCGTTAGGCACACAAGGTGCCAGAGATTTGGAAGCCCAGACGTCCTTGTTACATTTTTCTGCCTTTGTTTAACTTTTCTGCAAACAAGAACACTAACCAGGTAGAAGAAGAACAAAGATACATTCAAAAAATTGAAAAAAGTGTAATACTGGCATAACTTTCTTAGTTTTCGCCCAGTTTTAATGAAAGTTATATTTTTGAGTTTCTCTTGTTAAGAGCTTCAAAATGAGTATAAACATGGCCTACTTTCTCAAAATTTCGAATTTCTTGTGGTCCATGCTCCTTTAAACTCAAAAATCATTTTTCACTAAACCTAGGAACGATTATGCTCATTTTAAGACTCTGAACACGCACAATTCAAGTTTAACAACGGAACATCGGAAAAAGAATACCGTAACCAGGTAACTGGAGAACCGAGAAATTATTGAATATCAGGAAAAGTGCCCTAAAATTGTACAAAGATGTTTCAGAGAACGTGATGTACAAATTCAAAATCAACACAATGCGAGCTTCAAAATGATTATAAACATGACCTACTTCCTTAAAGTTTCAAATTTCTTGTGGTCCATGCGCCTTTAAAGGTGGTGTACGGTGAAATTTTTTATTGCATCAAAATGTGCAGAAACGCATGTAGATTGACATAAAAATAAAGAAAAAATTCAAAAAAAATTCCTTCATCGAGAAAAACGCATCGAAAATTCGCTGAAAGCCCTTAGGGACGAGGTTTTTTCTAGGCCGCCCGGTGAGTTAAAAGCGCGC